CACTTTTTTCTTTTTCTATCCCTCCTTTCACTGTTCTTTTTTACTCCTTCTATCCCCCCTTCTGTTTTTTTCTTCTACCCCTTTCATTTTTCATTCTTCCTCCTTTTACATTCCTCCTTTTTGTCCTGCCACCCCAACTTGCAGTTTTCTATTCCTCTGTCCTTTCATCCATCCTTTCACTTGTCTATTTTCTATCTTCCCTGCATTCACCTTTTCTCTCTACAACCCTCTTTTTACTTTTTTCTTTTTCTATCCCTCCTTTCACTGTCCTCTTTTAATCCTTCTGTCCCACCTTTTGTTTTTTTTTCTTCTACCCCTTTCATGTTTCTCTCTCTTTCTTTCCTATCACTTTCTCTTTGTCCTCTCATCCCTCTTTTTACTTCTCTCTATCCCTCCTTTCACTGTTCTCTTTTAATCCTTCTATTCCCCTTCTGTTTTTCTTTTTTTCTTCTACCTCCTTTTATTTTTCTCTCTCCCTTTCCTCCTATCACTTTCTCTCTTTGTCCTCTCATCCCTCTTTTCACTTTCTCTCACTCTATAATTAAGCCCATCTCTCGTTTGTCTCCCCCAATTCCTTCTTTTACTTTTTTCCCCTCTATACTTTCCTTCTTTCCTCTATCTCTCCTTCATCTTTCCATTCCTCTTTTCACTTTTCAGTGGATGCTATCTCTCCTTTCTCTCTCTCTCTCTCTCTCTCTCTCTGTTTAAGTATATGGACTCTGTAGATGTGAAAATAGAAGAGGAAGATAAATTTGTTACATGTTTTGAATTATTTATTTTGGTGAGATGGGTGTGTTTGTGAGATGGATTTAAGTTGGCAAGAATGTGACAATAAAGGACTGTTTAAAGTCAAGTCTTTCTCTCACTCCCTCTCTCTCTCTCTCTCCATCTTCTCCTCCAGCACAGAACCTTTAATCTGTCTTTCTATGCGGCTGATGCATTCTCTTTCCCTTTCTCTTCCCTGACCAAAGGAATGATGCTGCAGTAAGGGTCCAGTACAGTTCACACTCTCTCCCACTGTGGTGAAATTACAGTCATAGAGAAGATATAGAAAAACTAAGACTTCTGAGACCACCAAAACTGTCCCCATCAGATAAACAGCACTTACAGCTTTCACCCCTTAGAGAGAGGAGAAAATCAAGCTGCTTCAGATCTGAAAACATCCACAGGTGTTTCTGTCCATCTTTCCACTGTGAGACGACAACTCAGTGCTATGGGTCTGAAAGGTTGTGTAGCTGTTCAAGAAGAACCTCACTGAGAAAAGGAGACGGACACATCAAACAAAGAAGCTGAACAATGGACTGACCACCCCAGAGTCCAGACCTCAATGTCACTGAATCTGTTTGATTACTTCAGAAAATGCTAAACCAACTTCTAAGACTGAACTTTGGAGGTGTGTCTGCAGATTTCTTGGAGAAACTGAAAGTGAGTCTCCTGAAAAGAATGGAAGCTGTAATAAAGGTAAAGAGTGACACACTGAACACTCAAACAGCTGATGTTAGATTTATTTGTTGAGGCTTGTGGGTAAATTTCTGTTAAATATGCATTTTCTGCTTTTTTTTCCAAACACTGGAACTTTCACACACTTGCTTCAAACTGTGGGTGATGTTAGGTGATCTCTAATTTTAATGTAAGTTAATGTACACAATTTTATTTTGAGTTTTTTTAGAGTGTTTCTATTGGTCCATTCATCATGAACTTTTCAAACAATATAAAGAGCTGACGCTCAAATGAAGTTGAAAAACAGCAACTCATTGTTTATATATGTCAGGGACAATACAGTCCTGTGCAAAAATTTGTGCACCCCTGGTCAAATGACATGTTTTATTGGTTTTCCTAATGTAAATAAGTGGACACATCCTCTACAGCAGAGGTGCCCAATACATCTTTCACGATCGACCGGTCAATTGGACAGTGCAGGTTGGTAGATCGCGCTTCATTCAAATAGGCTATCACATTTCAACACTTCCTTACTGCTTCTAGTGGCCGGCACGTCAACGTGATTGACGCGAAATCTGGCCACTGTCTCTTTAATTTACTGCTTGTTACCACAGCTACGCCACAGCCCAGTTATAGCACTGCTGCAAGTTTGCCTCTCTAGCAATCTAGAAAGTTTTCATTTATCTACAGCCAGTTCATGTAGCCATTTTAGCAGATTTCTTTTTGTAACCTACACGGATTCTTTCAGAAGATGAGTTCGAGACCTGCAGAAAGACATCAAACACTTACCTTCTCCACACAGAGCGGGAGGAGGACTATTTTTTACAGTGTCAAACTTCAAATGCGTCTGCTTGATTTGCCAAGTAGCCATCGCACTACCAAAGAACAGGACCGTCGAGAGGCATTTCTGAACTACACTTCTATAACAAATTTCTAGCTAAAAATGATTTCAGGAAGAAAAAAGTGGTCCAGACTACACAAACCAGCTGACACCATTCAGTGCAAATCATCAGAATAAGGTAAGTGTGATTTATCAGTTGTTTTCCCTGTAATGCTGACTTTTAATATAGGCCACTGAGGTGCATTAAAAAAGTTTCAAAGCTTTTCTTTTTTTAAGATAGATCATGATGACCTGTCCACTAGAAAAAGTAGATCTCAAGCCACAGAAGTATGGGCACCCCTGCTCTACAGAGAACACACCTCTACACATCTTAATACAGAATTAGTCAATTAGACTGTTTATTTGCTGAATTTAACATACTGTAATAAAGATAGAACATTAAATAAGGGTTGTGCAAAAGATACAGCACATTTTATGTTTTATATTTTGTTTGTTTCCAGTATGTTAAACTCAGCTAACTGAGAAAATGATTACAAAACATGTAATTCAACCAGGTATCCAAACTGTTGCGCATGACTGTATGCTTTCTAGAGGATTTGAAACAGGCTACTGACCTCTATGTGTAACAAAACAAGAGAGAGAAAAGTGTGAGAAGCTGTGATATTTTCAATATATAAGTGATAAGACGAACATATCCCCTAAACCCTATACTCCATCCCCCCACCCCCAGCTTCACCTGTGTAGTGAAAGCTCTCAGACTGAGTCATGCTGCACTGCAGATTATGAAAGACCCTCTGCGATGGCACTAAACTCTAACATCACGCACCTCAAACTGCGCTGCATCTGGCAAACGTGCACTCGAGCGTCATCAGCATCAGCCGCGTGTGTCCGCCGCGCGTGTGTGTGACGTCTGAGAGCTCATACAGGCCTTTGATGAGGAGAGCAGAGAGAGCTAAAAGAGAGAGAGGGATCAAAGCTAAATTTCCTTTCGATCTCCCGCACATACTCACTCTGGCTCTCTCTCTCCCTGTCTGACCCTTTCATAACATCAGGAAAGCTCTATTTTAACCCTTCAACTGCCACTTAGTTATAACTCTCTTAGTTATAAGTGTTTCATGCAATTATACAGATTGATGGAAAATGTGCTGTAGACGGTTCTATATAGTACCTTTTTAAAAATGGTTCTATATAGCAACCAAATAGGGTTCTTCTATAGTTACGTCAACCTTGTAACAATAGAATAACAGAACCATCTACAGTACATTCTCCATCAATCTGAAGAACCCATTCATGATGCAAAGAACTCTTTAAACACGCAAAGGATTCTTTGAGAGTTCAAAGCTCTACATAGAACCGTTTTCTTTACTAAAGAACCCTTGAAGAACCATCTTTTTTAAAGACCTTCTGTTTGATTTTTTTTAAACTTTCGCCAGCGACATAAACCCGCTCAACCAATCACTGTTGCCCCTCGCGTTGTCATGACGACAACAGATCAGATATATATGCAGAAGCTCTTATAAAGTTTCAGTTCCTGAATGAAGTGATGAAGCTCTCCAAAATGGTTCCATGTTTATAAAGTGGAGAACAGCTTCTCTAACGTTACCATTTGCCCATTTTGTGAGTCACAAATGATGTTCTTTTAGCATCTGGTGACTCCGCCTATTCGCTTGACATAAGCATAATAAAATATCTCTTTTTCTGCTAATTAATCCAAATGTGGTACAGACTGAAGGTTTAGAATCTGCAGAATTTCACAAATGACATTAAATTTCTCTCTTTCTCTCTCTCTCTCTCTCCCCCACATGACCTTTAATGCCCTTTAATACACTATAAGCTCTTTAAGCCTGAATAACATGTCTGAACAGAAGACAAGAATACTAACTCACCGTCACATCATTAATTATTCTAAAGTCGATTAGCAGTGAGTAATCAGAGCTTCATGAACACATGCTCAGTGCTCTGAAGTGATGCTGAGGGCAACAACAAGAGCAACAAGAAAGAAGAAGAATATCAAACAGAATTCAAAAATCCTTCACAACTTCACTCAGGTTGCTTTGCCCAGACAAACATCAAAAGGCTCATTTGCACAGGAGAAATCACAGTATTAGACTTTTCTAAAGTCTTTCTAAAGTGTTACAGTCTGACAGTAATAACTGTGGAGTGATTTTAATCCAGTATGAATCTGAAGTGTGTGGAGTTTTTACAGTCTGACAGAAAATAATTGTGGAGTGACGTTAATCCAGTATGAATCTGAAGTGTGTGTAGTTTTTACAGTCTGACAGAAATAATTGTGGAGTGACTTTAATCCAGTACGAATCTGCAGCGCGTGTAGTTTCACAGTCTGACAGTAATAACTGTGGAGTGATTTTAATCCGGTATGAATCTGCAGCATGTGTACCTTTTACAGTGTGATAGAAATAATTGTGGAGTGAATGGTCTTCTGTAACTGGTTAAATCCGTAGTAGTAATAGAAGACATTTCCAATTCACCTCATGCTAATGGGATAAGAAAACTTGCTAACATGGCAGTGTTGTTATTGTTATTGTCCTGTAGCGTAATGCTGATGTCAATATTGGGGGTATAGTCTTTCAATCTATCTGTGGGATTGAGGAGAAATTACTTTACTCAAACTAATCAGTCAGTCAGATCTCCTGTGGTAAACATGCTGCTACAGTAGTGCTGAGACGGTTTCGCAGGTTTGGCTCAGTATCACACTCACCTCTGTGTGTTTCTATTCAGAGCTGGCGGGAGGGAAGTGTGTCCGCAGGTACTCTCTGGAGCGCATGTCAGCCTGGAATATAAATATAATTATGTTACACTAGTGTTATTATGACATCATAATGACATTAAAGGTATCATGACATCATATTAAAACAACAGCACTCTTGTTATGTTAAGGCCATTATTATGACATCATAATAAAACTATAGAACTATTTTACACTAGTGCCATTATGACATCATAATAAAACAAAAGCACATTTGTTATATTAAGGCCATCATTATGACATCATAATGAAACAACAAAACTATTTTACACTATTGCTATTATGACATCATACTAAAACAAGAGCATTCTTTTATATTAAGGCCATTATTATACCATCATAATAAAACAACAGAAATCTTGTTATATTAAGGCCATTATTATGACATCATAATGAAACAAAAGAACTATGTTGCACTAGTGCTATTATGACATCATAATAAAACAACATAACTCTTTTACATTAGTGCTATTATGATATCATAATAAAACAATTAAACTTGTGTTAACTAGTATTAAACTCGTGGTCATACTACAGCCCAGATATCATTTGGGTGGTGGAACATTATCTCCCCATTTATTTACAGTAATTCCTGAATAATAAGTCTTTAGATTAATAACTGAGCAATAAGGCCGCAGTTTTGCAGGGTTAATTCTGATTTTAGTTAAATGAAGATGTCCTGCCTCGGAGTGAAACGCCGAAGGAAAAGCTGACATAATGTTAGGGCTTGTTGAGTAAAGTTTACGCCTCTCTCCTGAGCCTGCAGTCTTCAGGCCTCTATGCTGAGGAGAAGGGTGGTGCAGTTTGTTGGTGTTGCATAACACCCCCAACAGATCAAACACCAACGTGCGCATGTGAGAAAGCTTGGAGAAATGCCTCCAAAACCCACTGAAGGCTCTTCACTCGGCTTTCATCCAGCTTTTGTCCTACAAGGTGTTTGTGACTCAGTGCGGTCAAACAGAGAGAAAGAGGGAGGTTTGTGACTCAGCGTTATCACGCAGTCACCAATGTGTGTGTGTTTGTGTGTGTGTGTGTTTGTTTGTGTGTGTGTGTGTGTTGCATAAATTGAATAAATTGCCATCACCTTTCAGTGTGTGTTTTTAAAGTAGCTATGTAATATTAAAAAAATCTTTTTATTTTTAATAGTTAAAGCTACACTATATAAGTATTGGGGATTTGGAGACCTCTCTAGTTGAAATGTGTAACTGCATACAACACGCGGAAGAACATCTTGCGTGGGTAACGTTGGTAACATTCAAAGAGAACTCAGTCAAAACTTGATGAAGGACGCGTCTTCAGAGGATGTGAGTGAAACATTATATATCCATCAGTATAATGTTGATTTTGTGTTTGATGCCTAAACATCGAGCCAGGCCTTCCTTTTGAGTCTGTGCTTGTGATGTTAATACATAAAGACGTACGATGTGGTGTGAATAACTCCCGATCTGATACCTCTGACTTTTAAAGGTTTTTTTTTCACAGTAAGAAACAATGCATAAAAAATAAAAACAATATACATGGATTAATAAGGAACACAGTTCTACTATGAATGAAAATACTCAATATAATTCCATGCATTGAGCAGGGATCAGATAGCCCTAAGTTAGATGTCAGTGGATGTGGTCAACATTTTGGTATAATTATTAAATTTTTACTCAGGGACAGTAAAGTCAGAAGATTTTTCCACATAGGTAAGAAAGAGTTACCATGTTTCATTAAATGTTAGAGTGGAACCTTTTAAGGTCCATCAAATACATTCAAGGGTAGCATGACGAAGTGCATCCCTAATCCAAAGAGAATGAGTTGGGGGGGCAGGCGACGTCCACTGTGGTACTATAAGGCGTCTGGCCAAAAGTGTCGGAAATGCCACAAAACCGGATTTAAGTTTAAAGACTGCTTCTCTAAGGGGGAGAATTCCATACAATGCTATAACTGCATTAGGTTTGCACTGCACATTCAAAACCTCAGATATTGTTGAAAAAATTTCAGACCAATAGCCAATAAGTAATGGACAAGACTAGATCCTGTAAATTAGAGAGACACAAGCTGAATGGCAGCAGATTTCAGGCTTTACAGGTTGACTCACAGCAGCGCAAGCTTACCATATTTCAGCCTGTTTTTATTCTCCTCACTCAGTAATGACACTTCTTTTAGTTTTAACAAAAATATCTTACATAGTGCAGCTTCAAAGTTTGATAGTGTACCGTTTACTCTCCTGTCCATACATTTGGTGTTTTTACATACACATTTACAGTCCAAAAGTCTGAGAACACAAGTGAAAACGCTTTTATTTTTAACATTTTTCACTACAAATTCTATTAGCAGCACAACTATTTGAGTAAAAAGCACTCAAATAGTTGAGTCTACATGAATTTCAGTATTTATTTTGCTATTTTTCTTTAATGATTGCTAGCATGGACTTCACAAAGTTTTGCCCAAATATGAGCTTCACTGGAAGAGATAAGACTCCATAACAATACGACCTTTTTGCACAAAGGTCTTAACATGGTCGACACTTAAATTACTTAAGTTGCCTAGAAATAAAGCAGAATCTTGAATATTTGAATTTCTTCTTGTTATTAATTCTGTTGTTTATTTCCAGGTTTGGACAAAAAGAAACCTAGATTTTTAATATGCTGTCAGACTTCTGGGCCCCTCTGTACACCCACCTGTTCAGCATACAGCAGTTTAGCCATGCCCACTCACCCTTCACAGTAATTAGGAGTGTGAGAGCCCTTAGTGGTTTTTGACCGAGGTACAATACAAGGCAGCTATTCGGAACAGAGCTCATTTACATACATCAGTCTTAAAGGCATAGAAATAGGCATAAAGAGAGGTTAGAAAATAGTAGAAATGAATTATGAATCATAAACCCACACAAGCATTACATTATTTACAAACAATACAATCATTACAATAAAATACAGGAAGAATGTAGGATCTATCACATTCCGCTTTTAGCGAACGCTTGTGTCTGTGTGTGTTTCTATCTCCTGGTGTCCACAGGAAGCCCTCACATAGCCAAACTGTGACTAATAACCCCCTCATGCTCCAAAAACACACACCACCTGCCACACGCTTCTCCTTTAAAACCGCACACAGCGAGAAAGGAGAAAACAAAGAACAGCTAAAAAAGAAAAAAGAAAAACAGGTGTAAAAGTTTACAATGATAGCATGTGCTTGTGTAATGTGTGCAGTACATGTGTGACTGTAACTGTGTGCATTCTTTCATGAATTTTTATGTGCACTGGAAAAAGTATGTCTTATGTATGATTCAAAGGTGCATATCATTTGCACATGAATAAACCATTTTACAACAGAATTTCGTACTTCAGTGTTTGTGTAATATACACTGTATGTCCAGGCAGGCCTTCTAATTAGTGAATTCAGTTACTTCAGCCTCTTGTTGCAGGACCCCTAGTGGCCATTAAGCCAGCAGAACTGAAATAAACTTGAATATTTCTAATTGATATAATCTGTTATCAGAGTAACTTACACTAGTGCTTGAAAGTTTGTGAATTTTCTATATTTCTGCATAAATTTGACCCAAAACTTCAGCAGATTTTCATACAAGTCCTAATAGTAGAAAAGGGAATCAAATTAAACAAATGAAACAAAAATATTACACTAGGTCATTTCTTTATTGAGGAAAAGGATCCAGTATTACACATATGTGAAGGTGAAATCAGAGTCAGGTGTTTTCAATCAACGGGATAGCAATCAGGTGTGAGTGACCACCCTGTTTTATTTAAAGAAGAGGGATCTAATCACAGTCTAATCCTCACAGCACGTTTGTGGAAGCGTATCATTTCTGAGGACCTTAGAAAAAGAGTTGTTGATGCTTATACAAAACCATCTCTAAAGAGTTTGGACTCCACCAATCCACAGTCAGACAGGAGGAAATTCAAGACCATTGTTACGACAAAGATAACACCAAGAGCAAGGTGTGTAATAGTTCACGAGGTCACAAAGGAACCCAGAGTAAGCAGCTAAAGGCCTGTCTTACAGTGGCTAATGTTGATGTTCATGAGTTCACCATCAGGAGAACACACAGAACAACAACGGTGTGCATGGCAGAGTTGCAAGGAGAAAGCCACTGCTCTCCAAAAAGAACATTGCTGCCTGTCTGCAGTTTGCTAAAGATCACATGGACCAGCCAGAAGGCTACTGGAACAATGTATTGTGGACAGATAGGAACAAAATGGATTTGTTTGGATTAAATATTATGTTTGGAGAAAAGAAAACACTGCATTTCAGCATAAAATCCTTATCCCATCTGTGAAACACGTTGCTGGTAGTTTCATGGTTTGAGTCTGTTTTGCTGCTTCTGGGCCAGGACGGCTTGCTATCATTTATGAAACAATGAACTCTGAATAATAACAGAAAATAAAAAAGGAAAATGTCAGAACATCTGTCCATGAACTGAAACTCAAGAGAACACAGGTCATGCAGCAAGACAATGACCCTAAGCACACAAGTCATTCTACCAAATAATGGTTAAAGAAGAATAAAGTTGTAGAAGAATAAATGTCCTGACCTTAATCCTATAGAAATGTTGAAGCAAGCAGTTCATGGGAGGAAACCAACCAGCATAACAGAGGTGAAGCTGTTTTGTATGGAGGACTAAAATTCCACCAAGCCGATGTGCAGGACTAATCGACAGTTATCAGAAAGGTTTAGTTGTAGGTATTACTGCACAAGGGGGTCACGCCAGAGACTGAAAGCAAAGGTTCACATACTTTTGCCACTCACAGATGTGTAATACTGGATCCTTTTCCTCAATAAATAAATTACCAAGTCTAATATTTTTGCCTCATTTGTTTAATTTGCTTCTCTACTTTTATGACTTGTGTGAAAATCTAATAAAGTTTTAGGTCAAATTTACGCAGAAATATAGAAAATTCTAAAGGGTTGACAAACTTTCAAGCACCACTGTAGTAGTGTGCTGTATGGCCACAAATTTATGTCAATTATATCATATATATTTTTTGAAATCCATTTTCGATGCTGAACTAAACCTATTG